TGGCATCCTGTCCAGGTCTTCTAGCAACTTGTCGCAGAGGTAAGAACGAAGTCACCTTGTCTTTTTCTGCCCTCCATGAACCAGGTGTTATTTCACCATCAATGTCATTGTCTAAGGAATCTTGCGAAAAATACCTTGTGCCGGAGGTTCTGCTTTTACGTAAAAAATTGTGAAGTAACACACAAGTCATAGTAATTTCTGTCACTTTATGTGGTTCGAGCAGCATTGGTTTTCTGAATAATCTAAAAATAGATGCCATTATTCCAAATATGTTCTCTACAAGTCTGCGTGCCCGCGAAAGGCGATAGTTGAAAATTCGTTTCTCGCTTCCCTTGTCGTGGATTCCGGGATATAGTTTTAACAGGTGAGTAGTTAAAGCAAACGTATCATCACCCACAAAAACATATGGCAATGATTCTTCACAGGAAGGTAATGGCTCATCTGGAGGCAGCATTAATTCATTATATAAAAATTAGATTACTGGCCAAAAAAATTTTGAGAACTTTTTTTAAGTTTCAGATATTAGAGGACGTAGATAATAAAACTACTGAAAATAGCGAAAATATCCACCAAAGCGAGTGTGATAAACCACATGAGGAAGAGAAAAAATAAATAAATCCAGTAAAGCTAAAGTCTGCTATTATAAATACAGAAAAAGGCAAGAAAAGAAAAGCGGAAACTATGACTGGCACCACTGACACTCGCATGGAGGAAGCCTACCAAATCCTAAAAAAAGTAGCCGTGTCAAGCGAATCAACTACTCCAGATGAATGTTCATTATATGGTGAATTGCAACCACTAGAGAACTCGCGATGCTTGAAATCGACCAGTTAATGTTTCGCTTAAGGCATCAAAAAAGAGAGAGAGAGAGAGAAATAATTCTCAAGTATCTTCCTACTTTTGAAAAGCTGTACAAAAATAATTTTCATATGTAAATGATTTCCTTTTACCTCCATGGGGGCGTGCCCCAGTGGGAATATTTGGAAATCATTCCTTATTGCACATTCACAACATAAAGCGAACCTACATACAAAGGTTCAGGCTCCAAAAATATAGCAGTACGGAGAAACGGTGATGAAAAAATAATTTTCATATGTAAACACCCCCCCCGGTTCACTTTCACGGAGGCTCACCAGTTGGAATATTTGAATTTTTTTTATTTCGCATCTAAGACCTAAGAAGCACCTATATACCAAATTTCAGCTTCCTAGGACCCACCAGTAAGGAGAAACAGAGATGAATGTGTGTTATGTATTTATGAGTATGTATTCTCAGAAAACAAACTAATTTGGCGTGCATATTTTGCTACGTATAATTATGGAACGCCGTTT